GGTCAAATCTGCTCTACTAGTTACCGGCGTACTCCACCATAGAGACACTGTGAAGGGATTGCAGATAAGGACGTGGGCTAAGGTGCCGCGTGGCAGTGGGTTGGGCACTTCGAGCATTCTGGCAGCAGCAGTTGTGAAGGGTCTTCTGATGATAACTGACGGAGATGCTAGCAATGAAAACGTTGCGAGGCTAGTTCTGGTATTGGAGCAGCTCATGGGTACAGGGGGCGGCTGGCAGGACCAAATTGGAGGGTTATACCCAGGCATCAAGTTCACCACCAGTTTCCCTGGTGTACCCTTGAGGCTTCAAGTTATTCCTCTGCTGCCTTCTCCTCAGCTCTTGTCGGAGTTGCAACAGAGATTGCTCGTGGTCTTCACCGGTCAAGTAAGCAGCTGCACCCTTTTTATTTATCATAGCCAGCAGCTCATGGGTAGCCAGTATACAAGTACCTTAACTGCCAGTAAATGTAAACTGAATAATAATGCAGGTTCGGCTGGCACATCAAGTCCTACAGAAGGTGGTGATGAGATATCTTAGACGTGACAACCTCTTGATATCCAGCATCAAGCGTCTGGCGGAGCTTGCAAAATTGGGGAGGGAAGCTTTGATGAACTGCGACGTGGACGAGCTTGGGGAGATCATGATTGAAGCATGGAGGCTGCATCAGGAACTTGACCCTTACTGCAGCAACCAGTTTGTGGACAAACTTTTTACATTTGCTGAGCCTTACTGCTGCGGGTACAAGCTCGTTGGAGCCGGGGGCGGGGGATTTGCTTTGTTGCTTGCCAAGGAAGCAGCCTCTGCAAAGGAATTGAGGCGCAAGCTAGAACAAGACTTCAGCTTGGACGTTAAGGTCTACAATTGGAGCATCTTAGAAAGTTGAACTCTAGGCGCCACGCACTGCACTCTGTACTGTATTCTTCCTTTCTTGGTTATCCGATCAAAATCATGGAGGTGTTGTAGGGGCATTGGGGGTATTCTTTTGTTACGCAGATTAGGCGAAATCATGACCTGTTTTGTTTCTATGTTTGTTGTGAAATTCCGTCTTTCGGTAACTTCGTATCGACTAAAAACAGACAAAATCATACTAAAGAATCATATATACTTGAGAATTTGAAAATTAGTTCATTGAAATGCGTTTGATAAAATGTTATTATGTATATTTTAGAATCTCTGTTAATAACCAAATATTTGTCATTTTTGTTTTCATTTCTTAAAACGCCCGTAACTCGAAATTATCGAAGATTCAACCCAAATTTTTTGCGTTGTATCAAGATTTGGCCCGATATAAACTAACTCAAAATTATACGATCCACTATAATCTATAACTCGAGGTTATATGATCTGAAATAACGCAACCCAACTTGATTGCATATACCCGACTCAATAGGATCTCTTGGTAAGTGACATAATATTTTATACTAAAGTCGTGGTTTAACAGTTCAAAATCGTTAAAATCACTTACCATTTGAATTCTGGTACCTGGTAGGGGTGTACATGGATCGGTTAGTTCGGGTTTGGTCATTTTAATCACCCGACCCGTATACTACTGTTTCGAAAATGTTAAATCCAACCCAAAAAAAAAAAAATTAAAACCTTACAATTTGTTTATAATTGAATTGGATCGGATCGCGAAGATACTTTTAATTAAATATCAAACCTAACACAGAAATGCAACTATTATACACTACGAAGGAAGGAATCCTAAGCAAGGCGAGATCCAACCGATTAAAAAGATCCAACCGATTAATTGGGAGGAGATTCGTGAGCTGGAAATAGAGTTAAGCCGGCAGTGGGAAGCAGAGGAAAGTTATTGGCAACAAAAATCTAGGGTTCACTGGCTCAAAAAGGGGGACAAAAACACCTCGTACTTCCACACAGTTACGAAAACCCGTCGCAAAAGGAATTTTGTAGCTGGGCTCCGAGCTGACAATGGGGATTGGGTCACTGATGAAAAAGAGAAAGCAGAGGTGGCGACAGAGTTCTACCGACACCTCTTCACTTCTGAAAATCAGATCCCTAATATGAGAGATCGTGTCTTTTCTCTGCCCATTGATCAAAAGGTTACTCCCGCTATGAATGAGGCCTTAACGGCGACTGTTCTGCCTGAGGAAGTGCGTAAGACTGTGTTTGCAATGGGGTCGAAACAGGCGCCGGGCTCGGACGGCTTTACGGGTAAATTCTTCAAATCCTTTTGGGACATTGTAGGGCCGTCGGTGATTGAAGCTGTCTGCTCGTTCTTCTGGTCGGGAAAGATGCTCCGTAGTTTCAATCATACCTGGCTTACTCTAATCCCGAAAGTGGATAATGTAGAATCAATGCGGCAATTGCGTCCCATCAGTCTATGCCAGTTTGTGTACAAAATTATAACCAAAATTCTGGCGGAGCGGCTGGCTTGTATTTTACCGACAATTGTCTCGGCTGGTCAAAACGCCTTTATTCGGGAGAGACAGATTGTCGAGAATATCCTCCTCGGACATGAAATTATGCATTACCTGAAGATCAAAAAACGGGGGAAGAAAGGTTACATGGCTCTGAAGGTTGACATGGAAAAAGCCTATGATAGAGTCGAATGGCCCTTTCTCCTAACGGTTTTGGAAAAGATGGGGTTTAATTCTGTCTGGAGGGGTTGGATTCAGGAATGCCTCCGGTCTACCTCCTTTTCGGTGATGATGAATGGTACTCCGTCTGGGTATTTCACTCCTTCCAGGGGCCTGCGACAAGGAGATCCTTTATCGCCCCTTTTATTTGTGCTTTGCACGGAAGGGTTTGCGGCTCTCCTAAGGAAGGCTATCTCAGATAAAAAGTTGGCAGGAATTAAGGTGGCGCCTAGTGCCCCGAGAATTTCGCATTTATTCTTTGCTGATGACTCATATTTATTCCTGCGGGGAACGCTCCAAGAATGTGAAAATCTGATTGAAGTTTTGAATGAGTATGAGGAGCTGAGTGGCCAGCGAGTGAACTTGGGCAAATCGGCGGTGTGCTTCAGTCGGAATATCTCGATTCCGGACCAGGAGTTTCTAGCGGCGTGTATGGGGGTAGGGGCAGTAGGTGTTCATGATAAATATCTTGGGCTCCCCTCCCTCATGGCCAGATCGAAGATGGAGACATTCCGATATTTGGAAGCGAAACTCCTGGAGCGCCTGCAAGGGTGGAAACGTAGAACCTTGTCCTGGGCGGCAAAAGAGACTTTGATAAAATCAGTTGCAATGGCCTTGCCCCTTCATGTGATGTCCTGCTTCAAGCTGCCGCTTGGCCTTTGCCGCCTGCTGGACAGACATGTGGCTCGGTTCTGGTGGGGGGATGAGGGTAACCATTCAAAGGTTCGCTGGGTGTCCTGGCGGGACATGTGCCGGAGTAAACACGATGGAGGGATGGGCTTCCGACGGTTTGAACATTTTAACCAGGCCCTCTTGGCTAAGATTGGTTGGCAGATCCTCCAGGAACCCCAGTCTTTGCTTGCCCAGGTGTACAAAGGGAAATACTTTCCCAAAGGTCACTTTCTCACTGCAAAGGCTCGATCTCGGCCCTCGTGGGGTTGGCAAAGTATTCTTCATGGTCGGGAACTCTTGGGAATGGGGCTTCGGTGGCAAATTGGGAATGGTCGTGCGGCGTCCATGCTGCATTCTACTTGGATCCCGCAGAACCAGTTTGACCCGGTTCGATATAACCCTCTGATTTTGCCACCAGGGGGGGACCCCCCAGTTTCGGAGCTTATTTGTCCGGAGGGTGGTCGCTGGTGTGACTCCAAATTGAGCCAATGGTTTGACCCTATCACCTGTCGTAATATAAAGGCTATTCCTCTCCCGTGTGTGAATGTGGAGGATAAACTAATCTGGTATGACACGGCGGATGGTGATTTTACGGTAAAAACAGCTTATCATATGGCGGTGGCTCTGGATAGACGCAGGGGGCGTTGGAGGGCTGGTGTGGACTGGATGGATCGACAATCCTGGATTCGCCTTTGGGAGGCTAATATACCTCCGAAACTTAAGGTATTCCTCTGGCAGGTCTTTCGTCGGGTCCTTCCTACTACAGAAGCCTTGCGAGATAAGAAGATTGTTGTCCATCAGCGCTGCCCGGTTTGCTGGGAAGCCGAAGAGACTATGGAGCACCTCTTTTTGGACTGCCAGGTAGCCAGGGATCTGTGGGGGGCTGTGGGCCTTGAGCATGTTGGGGAAGGATTGCCGCGTCAATCTTTTCCTTTGTTTCTCAAGAAGGTCATGACTCTAATTCAGTGCCCTGCGTTGTTCATGGCGGTGGTGGCCGTTCTCTGGCGAATCTGGCGCTCCCGTAATTGGGTGGTCTTCGAGGGTAAGCAGTATAGAGTGGGGGCTCTGGTGCGCCAGTTCACGCAACAGTATGAAGAGTGGATGCACCTCCCGGTGGATAAAACCTGTACGAGGCCAACTGATACGGAGGCCACTCACTCGTACCGGGAGGAGGTGCCAGGGCTGATCTGTGGCTGGGATGGGGCTGTTCGGAAGGGATCGCACTCTGCAGGAGGGATAGTGTTGATGGATCCGAATCAGGGTGTCATCTTGGCCAGTGGGTTCCAAATCCCTGTCATTGATGATCCTCTGGTGGTGGAACTGCTTGCGTTGCGAAGTGCGATTCTTTGGTGCAGTGGGCATGGGTACTCTAATGTGCGGTTTGAGGGAGATGCTAAGGTGGTCATTGAGAAGCTCCAGCGGAGGGAGGTTAGGGATGGCAGGATAGGAGCTATACTGGAAGAAGTGTTGCATTATTTGACCTGCTATCCGGGGTTCTCTGTTCGGTTTGTAGGTCGGCGTGCCAATAGGGTAGCCCATTTAGTGGCTCGTAAGGCCCTTTCTCTGTACCCGGCTATGAACCGTCATTTTGATTTTCAGACCTGGCTGCTCTCCAGGATGTAACTATCTTTTTGATCTAATATATGATTATCTTTTGTCAAAAAAAAAAAAAAAAAGAAGGAAGGAATCCTAAGAAAGAGACGGATAGAGAGAGATAGTGGGTTTACTTTAGCCCCTGAAACGCCATCGCTTTGGCCTTCCTATGGAGACGTGCCTTGCTTGCTTGATGCTTCTGCTGTTTCTCTCCCGTCCCGGTCTCGCATCTCGTTTGCAAAATTTGGGTCGAAAGTCGAAAAGCAACATAGAGAGCGAATCTATTCTTTAATCATTATGCGCCTACTAGGAGAGGAGACGAATGGATTGCGAATTGATTAAGGGGAGGAAGGAGACCAAAAAGAGAGGATAATTGTGATTGCGGGGAAGGCATTATTATGCTTAATTATAGGTGACGGTTGTTGAACAAATCCTCTGTGTCGTCTCGTCTCGAGAGCCAATAGGATGCAACCAAATGGAGAGCTGCCTTTTGGTTTTGGGGGTTTTTCCTTGGCATTCTTCTGCCGGTGAGGGTGAGGTGTGACTCTTAACGGAAATTAAGTAAACGGTGGGGACGACTGAACTGATAGAAGGCGATAGAGGACGAGAGCGAGAATTTTGAGATTTCAACGTCCCATGGAGCGGCGGAGCTGAGCAGCGAGAGAGAGAGAGAGGGAACGAAGGAATGGGTCTCATCACTCATAGAGTAGACAGAAGCGAAATCCAGCCAGGAGATCACATCTACACTTACAGAGCCGTCTTCACTTACTCCCACCATGGTCCTTTCCTCTTCTCTCCCTCTCCCTCTCCTCCTAATTTGAGGAGGTTTTTTATTTGGCTTCTTTCTTTCTGTAATGTGGGTTGCTCGGTGTTCGATCTGGGTTTCAATTTTTATTCATTCATTCATCCATTCCCGTTCCCTGAATTCTGGGCATCTATCTGCCTTTTCTTTTTCTTGTGTGGGGTTGAATTTCGCATGCTTAGATGAATGTTCTTCTCCAGATTTCCGTTGATTTACCTGACCCTCTCTGCGATTGCACCTTCCATTTTGCGTGGTTGAATATGTAAATTGAACTTGTGCAGGAATTTATGTTGGGGGAAGCAAAGTAGTCCACTTTACCCCCAAAAAGACGGCACAATCTAGAGATGCTTCTTCTTCTTCTTCTTCAATTATTACTACAGACTCGGTGCCAAGCATTCCATCATCCTGCTGCGACATCTTTCCGGACTGTGGATTCAGGCAGCCAGGCAGTGGAGTTGTCTTAACATGCCTTGACTGCTTCCTTGGCAAAGGATCTCTCCACTTGTTCGAGTACTCTATCCAAACTTCGCTGTTCCTCACCAAACTGAGAGGTGGCACTTGCTCCACAGCAGCTTCCGACCCACCACAATCCGTCGTCCACCGAGCAATGTACCTACTTCAGAATGGATTTGGCAATTACGATGTGTTTCGGAACAACTGCGAGGACTTTGCTCTCTACTGCAAGACGGGCTTGCTGATAACGGACAGCCAAGGTGTTGGCAGGAGTGGTCAAGCTTCTTCGGTGATTGGTGCTCCTTTAGCTGCTATTCTCTCTTCGCCACTCAAGTTGCTGATGCCAAGTCCGGTGGGCGTCGCCACAGTCACTGCTGGGATGTACTGCATGAGCAGATATGCTACTGATATCGGTGTGAGGAGCGATGTGATTAAAGTAGCTGTTGAAGACTTGGCTGTTAACCTGGGTTGGGGAGACGAGACCGTGGAAGCCGCCGATGATGCTTCTTCTCAGCTCACTGATTACCATGTCATTCAAAGGAAAGATTAAAAGACTTCGGTAATTCATGATCCTGCATATACATACATATGCATTCTTTTGAATTAGCAAGTTGTGATCTCTATAAAAAGCTTCCTTCTTTGAAGAAAACCCATTGTCACCTTCTTGCGTCTGTCTGTCACAAGCATTGGTGTTTGGTGAAGTAGGAAAGGGTCAAATTAAATTTCTGATATGGAACTTATTATTGTTCGTTCAACTATAAGCGTAAGATTTATATTTTAGCTGCTCTGTATGTGCATTTGGTTCGGATCGGTTGCGTAGCGCATTCCATGATTGGGAGCTCCTTCACCTTCAGCGTATCCTATATTGTGCAGTGACCTGTTCTTCCTCTTTTCCACTTTAGATTCTGTCATCATGGTAGTTGATAAATAACCAAAGAACAAAAAAGCTGTCTACCCACTTGGAACCAGCAATGACAATGAATAAGATGGAATGCTGGTCAGGAGGATAAGTTCTGCCTAGTGGAGCAACTAATTAGATTTATTAGTTACTGCTTACTGATAATTTCCCTGTCCCAGCAAATCAGACAGATAACTGATTTCAGTATCTGGGTTACATTATAATCAACCAGACTTGCTTTTCTGCTGTTCAGTGCTGTGCAATGAATAGAGTTGTGATTAGATCATTATCTCCATCTATGATACTTGAGTACATATTACTTGCAAATCGGGAGGTTAAATTGATATATAAAAGCCTTGGTTTAGGGTTACTAGTTTTTTATAATTTGTATCAACTTTAATGGCATTTTGCTAAGGCTATATAATTTTCCTTGTTTTTGTCATTTTGTGGACACATATTTGTCTCTTTTTTCATTTATTTTAATCATATATGAAACCTTTGAGTAATCCTCTTTTTCTTTTATTTTATCCTTTTCTTTTTGCTATCCTGGAATCAGCGTTTTTGTTTGTATTTGAGTAATTCGACTATTCAACTAAAAGCAGACTAATCACTCATATATATACATATCATATGTATATCAGTGATGCGTTATCCATCTTTTATATATCAATGTGAGTTTTTTTACTATTCAACTAAAAGTGACCAATTACACATGTACGGATCACATGTATATCGTTGATGCATTTTCCATTTTTGAGTTATTATAGATTGACAATCTTTGTGAGTTTTTCGGATATTCAACTAGAGATTAACTAATCAATGGCATTTTAATTAAGTGTATTTAGACGATTCATTTTCCATTTTTATATACTTATCGATTGACATTCTTTGTGAGTTTCCCAACTTATTTTTTTCATGGAGTCATATTTTCGAATATGCGGCCTAATGGTCATCGAGTCCAACTTACTCTCATAGGCTCAAGCTTAGAAGTGTAGTATTTTAATGATAGTTTGACTCAGTAGGTTCAACCTGGTGTTTTATGTGGTTGAACACACACTTTCTTCAACTGATCTTAGGTTATATTGTTTCATTTACTGATTCACACAATTGAAAATTTTATTGTGTGAGTTTTTATTTTTTGTAATTCATAGTACTTTGTATTTACAAAAATACAAAATCACGTGTATATCGGTGATGCACTATCCGTCTTTTTATATATCAATTTGAGTTTTTTTACTATTCAACTAAAAGCTGACCAATTACACATATTCAGATCACATGTATACTAGTGATGCATTTTCCATTTTCGAGTTCTTATAGATTGACAATCTTTCTAAGTTTTCCGGATATTCAATTAGAGATCGACTAATCATGCGTAATTCAATTATTTTGACAATCCTTTTTCCATTTCGAAATCCTTATCGATAAAAAATCTTATGAGTTTTCCAATTTAGAGACACTTTTTTTAATGTGACCTAATTGGCCATCGAGTCCAATATACTCTCATAGACTCATAGCTTCAGGCCCGATCCAAGGCCTGTCCTGGCAGGCTCCCCCAGCACAGGCCCTCAAGTCCCAACATATTACCATAATAGTCTTTATTCTTATGGGCTTCTCGGCTTTTATGCGCCAAAACAAATTTATTAATAGAAGAAAATAAATGTAAATTGATTTAACTGATGCATCAATGGGCCTAACATTCCTTTAATTAGTCTTGGGTTGATGTGTTTTGATGGGCTATTGAATGGACGACTAAGGTTTGATGGGTCAAATAACATCTATTGTTATTCTGTAATTTTTTTGTAGTTTTGTATTTTATTTATTTATTAAATTTAATTAAAATTTTGGGGCCATATTTTATTTGAGTTTGACTTAGTAGGTTCAACTTGATATTATATGTGGTTGAACACATACTTTCTTCAACGATCTTAGATTATATTGTTTCATTTACCAATTCACACAATTAAAAATTGTATTGTGTGGTTTTTTTTAATTCATAGCACTTTGTATTTAGTATATATGAATCTTAATAAAATAAGAAGTTAACATCCTGTGTAGAGCGTGATCTTTCGATCTAGTATATATGAACCTATTGATAATTTAGGTCCGATAGATACTTGCACAACATCCCCTATTCATAGAGTACAGTTAGATACAAAATTATCTATTTTTGAAACAGGAATTAAAGTAGTAGATCTTTTCAAGTAACCACTAATGGGTGCTCATAGTTTATCACTTCATGAAAATTTATTTGTGTCGTTTGGATGAGGGGATGTGTTTGAAAAGGCATCTAAAAATGCAAAATTTAGACATTTGTACGCCATCGAAGTAAGGAACCATGACATATATGTTTGGAATGTATTCCGTCTGCATATCCAAATTCGAGGACGTCGAGATCTTTCGGCTGCTGCCGCTGCCGCAGTGCAAGCGCCTTCCACATCAATTGCATCGACCAGTGGCTGGAGATGTAGAATTTGATGACGCGGAATTGAAACGAACACAGAAGACACGAGATTTTACGTGGTATCCTCGATCGATTGATTGATCGAGACTAATCCACGGTGAGCTCGGAATGAGCTCACGACTGACGTTTTATTGAACGACTACATTGTGACGGCTTGCTTACGACAATCTCGTAGCTAAGCTTATATAGAGATAGACGTAGGGTTAAAAACCTAATGACAACCAAGTTTCCTTCTTTTACTTGAACAAGGAAAACTAGGAACTTGTAGGACAAGGAATTAATTACTTTTTGACTAAGTAATTAACATCCTCAACACTCCCCCTCAAGCGAAGACATGAATGACAAGAATGTCGAGCTTGAAACTGAACAACACTCAAACAACCTCTTGCTGGCAATGACGATCCAACAGGCTGTGACTTTGTTCGCTTGCGGGAGATGAAGACAAATGATGAAACTACTCCATGCTTGACCCAGTTCTTTTGACAATGAACTCAACATGGTGAAATTCCTTGACGTCTTGGATGAGACTGATCCGACTTCATGCTTGACCTAGTTCAACAATAGTGAACTCCACATGGCGGAATTACCTTGACGTCTTGGATGAGACTGGAGACTGATGACTGGGTTGCTGACTTTGGAGACTTCTAACTGCACTGCTGACTGTGCTTCCCCGAGCAACATGATTGATAGATAGATACACGCGGTCGACTTGATTACTGAACTAGTCGACCTACATGTGTTGATTCCCTATTCTCCCCCTCAAGCTGGAGCATGAACAACATGAATGCCCAGCTTGAAAGTTAGAATAGTGTAGACTGAAAATTGACCAATATCTGAATATCGAGGGGACGATCAGTACTTGGATCGTGACTGCCTCGCTCCACGACTTGAGAAAACTTTATTGTAGAAAGCGTTCTTTCTCTCCAACACCGAGTACTTGCAAGGATGGATCGTGATTGTCTCCTTGCCCTGACCTTGACTGATGTTGGTGAAAAATTGCTTGCTACGTGACTTTGACAAAGACAACCCAACTTTGACGATTGACGACGGTTGAAACAAAGCAACCAAACTCCACCACGAACTGATTTTCAACAATGTCCATGTACTTCCTTTGACCGAACAAACTCCTACCAGCCGTTCTCCCAAGCCGAATTAACCAAACAACACATGAATTGATCTAATTCAACGAAAAGAACAAAAGTTCTGCATCCTTGTCCACAAAACAACAACCAAAGCGGAGCACTGAATTGAGAAGCCAACAGTTTCGTGTACTTTTGGGCGGGACAAGGTGAAGGGGAATAATAGAGCTTGTTTTCATTAGGAACGGAAGGTTAGAGGGTTCCAGGGGATGGAAGGGACCAAAAACGAACTCACTGAGACCAATGGGGAGAAGACTCGCCGCAACGATTGGAAGATCGAATTGGAGTCCAAGACGTGGATTTGTGACGTCGCGGCCTGATCCCCCACTTGATGCTGGGTCGGAGAGAGTACGCTGACCTTGATGAAGACAATCCCGCCGCAACGACCGGGCTTCTCGACAAAACACAAACAGAAACTTTGACCTTGTATATGGCCTAGCGTGGCCGTTGACTAGAGGAGGGTTTGAAACCCTTATGTGCGACCACGGCCAGACATGGACGTGCACAACGGCGACGGCATACTGGCGACGATGACGTTGCAATGGCGACGCACGGATAGTGGGAATCTTCCATCCAGTTTTCAAGCTTGACTCTTCTTCGGACTTGAGGAAGCAGCTCAAAACTTAGGAGCATTGTTGACACCGACTTGGATCCAAAACAAACCTTTTCGCAGCCGTTCCTCTTAGCATCCTCGTCGTCCGGCGACTGGCGATGATGACGACCAGCCGTGACAAGGACAGCGATCGATAACAAGAGCACAACCGATGATGACAGACACCGACTATGATACGGATCCGGAGTAGAAGGCCGGAGTGGACATCGACTCTTCTTTCAACGGAAACCGTGACTATCGAGGGGACATCGGGATGATGTTGGAGAGACGTCAACATTGAGTTGATTGCCGGCGGTGGCTACTGTGAAGGTAGCTTTTGAAATTGACTGATGATGGCAATTGACGATTGATGACATCAGGGGCGGCGGATCCCATCGACCTCAGTGCGGACTCGTCGGACATGACGGGGACAACGCACAGAAGAACCAAAACGAGGGCGGAAGCGCAAACCCTAACAATGGATCGAGGTTAGCTCTGATACCATGTAATAAACCAGTTGGTCCCAATAACTCGAGTTATTGGGACCAACTGGTTTATGACAGCTCTGATACCATGTAGAATTTGATGACGCGGAATTGAAACGAACACAGAAGACACGAGATTTTACGTGGTATCCTCGATCGATTGATTGATCGAGACTAATCCATGGTGAGCTCGGAACGAGCTCACGGCTGACGTTTTATTGAACGACTACATTGTGACGGCTTGCTTACGACAATCTCGTAGCTAAGCTTATATAGAGATAGACGTAGGGTTAAAACCCTAATGACAACCAAGTTTCCTTCTTTTACTTGAACAAGGAAAACTAGGAACTTGTAGGACAAGGAATTAATTACTTTTTGACTAAGTAATTAATATCCTCAACAGGAGAAGTACTCCAGTTGCCCAATATGCCGATCGAAAGTCAATGCAAAAGACCCCTTCGTGTTTGCATACTCCAATAGCATGCAGATGATGTGGAGCCAGTTGGCGGAACGGTGGCTGCTCGAGGATGAGGAGGTAGAGCACCGAAGAATTTCGATTATGTCGTTCTCTTTTTTGTTTCATTTATATATTTTAGTTTATTATTTTAATGATGTGGAAATATTAAAAGAATTAGATTTATTTTTTATTAATTTTTTAATTGTAACGTCAGTCATTTAACGGTCAACTGTTAAGGTTGACTGCCACATCAGATAAGTTAACGGAGAGTGACTAAACGTGGATCGTTTTACTAATTCGACTGACCAAAATTGATATTAACTTTTTCCGTAACTAAACATGACACGTTTTAGTAAAACCAATGACCAAATTTGGCATTTGTCCTATTTTTTAATATAAAATATAATGTGGCGTCCATGTAGTTTGGCGTGTATAGTTAGAGATGACATGTCGTTCAAGTGGTATTCACATCAGCTTAACATCCATTTAACTAATGGAGGTGTTGACGACTTTAAAGTATTTAACGAAAATGGTTAAATTTGTCAAACTAGTTTCAGAAGTGTGGATACATTTGTGTATTTTTCAAAAATTGACTATTATTATTATTATCATCACGAAGCTGATAGTTATGACTATGCCCATATATTATTACTTATATAAAAAATAAGCTACAACATATCTATCTTTATTTACAAAAGATAATCATATATTGATCAGAAAGAGATTGAACAAATTATAATATGGTATACAACCAGACAAGGAAATCAAAAGAGCGACATGTAGCCGGATACAAAGAAAAGGGTCTTTCTAGGCTCTAGCCACCAAGTAGGCTACCCGATTGCTATTCCGACTTACAAATCGTACATTAAAACTACGTAAAATTTCCAACAAACCATAGACTTTTGCAAGAATGGCTCCAAAAAGATTATCCTGAGCACCCGTCAAATTGACTTTATCAATGACCACCTTAGCGCCTCCTCAAACCGAACGTGCGATAGCCACAATCCAGACACCACTGGATGGACTCGCGGAGCACTAAAAGTTCAACCGTAAGCGGATCATCAATATCCTCAATATGAATACCCCGAGCCAAGATAATCGAACCATTCTGATCCTTTATAACAATCCCAACTACCGAGTGTGAACCTCTCCTAGTGGTATCATCCCACATGCAGGTGGCCATGACCGGAGCCGAAACATCCACAGCTGCCACCAGGGGGTCGGGGAATGAAATCACTCTATCCACCGGTAACCCCACCCATTCCTAAACTTGTTGATGATACTGATGCATCAAGGATAAAACACAGTACTGTTTCCCTTCAAAGACCACCCAATTTATGGATTTCCAAATCCGCCATAAGGCTACAACCACAACCATGCTCTGATGGGGTTGAGTAAGCAGTAAAATCAACTTCTTAAGGAAAAGCGGGAAATTCTAGCGAGGGAGGCCTTGGCCTAAAGTCTCTAGGCCAACATGATCCAAATTGCCCTTGCCACCAGACAATCCAGAAAAAGGTGTTCTATAGTCTCCTCAGCTGCCAGCAAACCGAAAATTGAGGCAAAACTTGTACCTCCTTCTCAATTAGAGCTTCGTTGGTTGACAGAATATGATTGAAAATTTGCCAGAGGAAGACCTTTAGCTTCGAAGGGATAGGGAGCCCCCATTACCCAAATCCAACTAGAATTATCCATCCAACTGACAGATTGCCTCCATCTGCCTTGCCGACGACTAAGCTGGACAGCTAAGTGGTAAGCAAACTTAACGATGAAAATCCCATCACTGGTATCGTGCCAGATCAAAGAGTCCCCAATATCATGACGTGGTAACGAGATTGCTTTGATCCCACACGCTACCTCTAGCGGGAACACGTGGTTGAGTACTTCCACATTCCACCTTCCTTCCCTTGACCGTAACAACTCAACCACCTTTGTATCACTTCCTTCTGGAATCACCTGAGGGTAGCAGGGAGGGGCCTGCGGATGCATCCTTGGGACCCAGCTGAAATTTCGGATGGGTACCGACTGATCGTTTCCTATCTGCCACCGCGCGCAAACCCTGCTGAAGCAAGAAGCGTCCAAACAATATACTCTGTCATCCCAAAAAGGACGGTACCGTGCCGTTACAGTGAGAAATGACCCTATTGGAAAATATTTTCCTTTATAGACCTGAGCCAAGAGGGAATGAGATACGTTAAGAATTCACCACCCAATTTTGGAAGTGGTCGAACCTACAACATATATCTAATTTAAAGTTATGAAATCTACATTAAACTAAAATAGTCCAAAAATGAAAATTTGATAATTTAACATTTTAGTAAGAATTTGGCTTAGCACTTAAGAACTCTCTGTTGGTTTTGGAACTAAAATTCCAAACTAATAAGTCTAACATAAGGGTCAGCGTCTATTTATTATGTTTCGTTTTCTTCACAGCTCTCAACAGTAATCGTGTCATCACTCTCCACGAAGTTTCATAAATATCATCGTCTGCCGCTGCCGATCAATAGTCGATCGCTACCGCTGTCATCATCACCACTCACAGCCCGCTGAGTTAAAGTGAGGAGAATTTGGATTGCCTGGATTGAATTTGAGGGCAAAAGAGATTAGATTTAGCAGACAAAAGAAGGAGCGGCTTCCTGAGGGCTGATTGATAGAGAGGACGAGAGGCGGCTTAGATGGCGAATCTGTATGTGAAGGCGGAGCCGCCGACGGATCTTAATAGGAACACCGAATGGTTTATGTACCCGGGCGTCTGGACGACCTACATACTCATCTTGTTCTTTGCTTGGCTTGTCGTTCTCTCTGTCTTTGGTTGCTCTCCTGGCATGGCTTGGACTGTCGTAAATCTCGGTCACTTTGCTGTAAGTTCTTCCTTCGCTTCTCCTGCCTTTCCAATTGCTCTTATTTTCTTCTCCCCCCCCACTTCGTCGGTTCAGTTCAGTCTTCTGGGTTAAGCTTTGTGTTATTTCAGTGATTAGGGTTTCGATTTGGGACTTCTACTTCTTTTCCAGCAGTCGCTAAAGTGAGAATCAAATCCCTATTTAGTTCAATTGGACTGATTTGTTGACACAGTTATAGGGATGTAAATTTAGCTGATTCTCCAACTCGCTATTTCCTTTACTGTGCATTTAGGCCGTAGGCGGTGTTGTTGATTTTATGCCATCTTTTCTGCTTGTATGTTGGACTGTGCATCTGCGTCTGCCATTTGCTCTATGAGCTTTTCAAGTTGGCTTTAACCAATTGTTACCTTGAATATTACCAACCTGGTGTATATTTTCAGCGGAAATTATGAGTTTTTTGGGGGAATTTTGATGAATGAGCGTGGTGGAAGTTCTCTTTGATGTATTCCCGTAATCAATTGTTGCTGATTGATTTGAGTGGATCACATACTTGATTGAAATGCTGTTGGTCCTCCAATTTGCTGTAAAAACCCCTTGCTGGTGTTCTTGTAAATTATTTAACGTGTATAGTCTTATATGTTCCTTTCTTAAATTTGTTATGTGTTGTCATACATGTCGTATTTCTGCTAAGGACGCTCTTTGGACGGAATTATATATAGGAGAACAAATGTTGAACAGACTCTGCCAATGGCCTTTAGATGATTGCCACCATGACTACCGCCAAATGTATTGTGTTAATATTATTCACTTAAGGGAGCGTATGACCAAGTGCCTCATTTTATGCATCGAGACTGAGGTATTTAGGGTAGAAAGATGATCTTGGTGTTGGTGATCAAGTTGAGCTTGACAGAGATCAGCACTGACTCGCTACTTATCAGGCACTCTGCTATAAAGCCTTTGGCATGCCTCTTGTGATGAAGTGATCGGCAATTTCTAATCTAGTTTATTTTCTTCTTATAGAACAATAAGCAGATTGAGGTTGCAATGCAGTAGATATTGTGGTACTTCTTCTTCTTTAAAAAACTATAATTGTAGGCTACTTCTGCAAAGAGAAGGCTGGATATGTGTGTGGTAGAGTGAGCTTGCATTCCCAGTCTAAGTAGTTTATCTCCATGTCCTCATTAATGATTCTGCCTTTTTGCACACAATTCCTTCTGTAGCTGGGCTTAAAATTCATTTGTGCATTCGAAGGTTAGCTGAGTGGCTAGTTTGAGAGGTCTATTTGCAGATTGATTATCCAAATGAGCCTACAATCTCACTAAAAAGGAGAAAGGGTCTATGATGATGAGTTTCTTTTAGTTTCTTGGTCTCTTCTTGAAATAGCTGCCGGTCTCAACTAGTGATCTCGATTGATTGCAATGGTATATGTTCCAGGTTACATATCATTTCTTTCACTGGAAGAAGGGAACTCCATTTGCCGATGATCAGGGGATCTATAATGCACTAACCTGGTGGGAGCAGATCGACAATGGAAAGCAACTTACACGCAACAGGAAGTTTCTAATGGTGGTGCCAGTGGTGCTGTAAGTTGTTTCCTGTTCCCCTCTATACTGCGTAAACTGGTCTAGAAAAGGGCATTCTAGAAACCTTCTTTTCTTGAATTATAGTGATTTGCTTTGTTATTGTATCGAATAACATTTCTTTGTTAACTCTTGCCATTTAATGTGTACGGTTTTAGGAAGCTAAACTTATTTGTTTTGGCGTGACTCTTGTTATGGCAGGTACTTGATCGCCTCTCATACAACTGACTACCAACATCCAATGCTGTTTCTGAACACAATTGCGGTGCTAGTTCTTGTTGTGGCCAAGTTCCCGAATATGCACAAAGTACGGATCTTCGGGATCAATGGTGATATGTGAGCTGCTGGGCCGTCTCTGGTGTGTTCTTTCGTGTTCATGAACCGATGCTGTGATCCTTCAGCTACTGCGGCTGGAAGTCATATATTCACTATTGTATAGAAGCTAGAAACTGAAGGCTACTTATAAATATGTAATGTTTTCGTTTTCGTTTTGTGGTGATAAGTGGAGTTTTACAAGTATGCATTCTAGGTGAGAAAATAACTGTATCGAGATATCTTTTTGTACAGAATGAGTAATGTTTTTATCTTTCTTCCCTATATGGTTCGAACATTGGCTTGAAAGATGAATCATGTAAGTTGTTGGTCATCAAGTTTAACGTTCAGCTCACGATCTTCTAAACGAAGGGCACTCCTTATCGATGATTCTTTCCCATACACTAGTAATAAAAATATATTAATTATACACTAGTTTAAATTTTCAATCTATACATATTTGGTAATGATGCGCAAAAGCAAAAAGTGATGCACGCAGATCGCTGTGATGACGTGATCAATGGTTACCTCGCGTTTCGTCTCATCGATTTACGTGCATTACGACGAGAAAAGTGATTGGCTCGAAGCATGCGATGTGGATTGCTGAGTTGGACTGAGGAGGTGTTTGCTTTTGTTAAAGGTAATTAGAGCGGATTGCTTTTGACCTTAACGATTCGTGCTCCCTTAGTCGCAACCGTAAATACCCCTTCCCCATTTCATTCCTCATTCAAACCACAACAACACTTCTTTTTTCCTCCTCTCTTCCACCACTAAAGGAATTCTTAGTATGCTTTGTGGTTGCAGTTAACCCTAACCTCCCACACTAGAAAAGTTCTCCTTGAGTTGTGATCCAGTCCTCCTCAACAAACTGTCACCGAGTCTTTCTCCAAAAATAGATGAAGAGTCCTTTAGGATACCTACTCGTTTTTCCTGTTCTGGTTTAATATTTTTGAACTTATTGTACATGTTGTAACATCAATAATGTTTTAGTAGTTAACCATGGTTGACTCGTTGAACATTTTCAAAATTTTGAGTCTTTTGCCCAAAGTATCATAAATAAAGAAATTTTGAGTATATTCTGTGGTTGCGGCTAATTCCAACCTTCCGCACAATAAAAGTTTTCCTTGAATTTTGAGGTTTACGTTTTCATGATTTGGCAATTTGACAATCAGTTTGACCAGTGCAAATAAGAGAAAGCTGTTTAAAAGGAGTTATTTCGAGGGGGAGTTGACTTCGAAAATACTATATGGAGAGGCTCAAGGCACCAAATCGGAGAAGGAGAATAACAATCAAGAACGGAATCACTATGGTGCTTCTTCCCCTCTCGTATTCATTTATTCTTTAGTGTTTATGGTATGGATAGCTGCTAAACCCCCTTTGATTGTAGAACCCTAGGTTTGATGGTTGATTATGTCCATTTTATGTTCTATTTATACATATGTTTGATTCATCTGAATCTGATTGTTCTTCATTTTCATAGCTTGTTATCCTTTGAGATTGATTTTTCTAAAACCTGTTTTATTGCATGTGTAAGATTGGAGACGACTACCTAGTACAATCGATCGCCAATCAATTGAGCTACCTATCGTCCTCAAAAGAGAAATCGGTACTCCCCATCATAGCTTATTAGATCTAATAATTGTTAGACATATGTTTTGATAATACCTTCAAACTCATAAAGAACTCACATAATCTAGCTCTTCATCATACCAAGGAGAAATATAATATGGATAATCACCTTTACTTTCTGCATCGTTTTTCTAATAGCAATCTTCTTTACTCTAGTGTTAACTTTCCGTTTTGATTTGGTTTCGATCCTTTACCCTAGTGTTAACTTTCCATTTTGATTTGGTTTGGATGCAAATTTTATTATTATGAGTAATTGGTTGATTAGAGACTTCGCGAGAATACAATCTTGGCAGCCCTCGTATCTACCAATTTAAATCTAACCCAAGAACACAATAGATCATTGCCTGACCGTCCAAGTCATGTTTGAAATGTTTTTATAGCCTTTTATCATTAAAAACTTACTTTGTGCATTTTTCGTAGGAATCACTTATTCCCCACATATGCAGGGGAACCTCACGCTTCCCCTATAGAATGAACAAATCTGACCAATTTGGACAGGGCGGGGTTGGATAGGGTGAGATTCTTCTTGGGGTTGGAAATTGCCAACGAACTCTTGTTGGCTATCTTAGAGGTGGCGGCACGAGACGCATACCTTTCACTTTCATGAGTGGGAGATGATCATAACGAAAGATGTCACAATCCTCATCGAGTTTCTAACATTGGAGAAGCCATCATCGGCAACTCAGCTGTTTCGGAAGGAGGTTGAGGGGCCATTGATTAGGGAGCGTTTTGAATTTGATATTTTGGCCGAGAAAGTGGAACGAGCTCAACCGCTATTGAACGTGGAGCAAATATCAATCATGTGGCTTGTTGATCATGTACTACTATAAGGGGAGTTGAACGACGAGACCCGCGAGGCAATAGTGGAGTGGTATGTCTACATATACCTTATTGCCTTAGTTGGTGGCATATTATTTTAAAACAAGGCAAATAGATCGATAATGGCATGTGGCTTCCACTACTCCTCGGAGCTTGAGACATGATGGGGACAAAGAGTTGAGGATTGACTTGTTTTAATTTTAGAAGGGTATATTTGTACAAAAATTTAGTAGAGCGGTACGTTTGTTAATTTATCATAGTAGAAGGGTACAAAATGCTATTAACCATTTCTTATACCATCAAATAGTCATCATTTAATATTTACTAATCGCACTACACACTGACCATCTACTTCTAAGTTCTAAACGCTGTGAATAAATTTTATTTATTAGTTCTAATATTGTGTAATGCCTATTAGATATTGGGATGAAAATTATAAACTATTAATTGTAACAAATTCGAATTACACATAATTTTTCTATACATAATTGGTTGATGGAGTAATGAAAATTTTGATGCATTACTACACGGATCCACAAGAGACAAAGTTGAAAGTGCCTAAAGAACTCAATTTGAACCCGCATCGTCGGTTATTACTTAACCTGACCCATGTTGGGTGTGTGATACCCGACCAACAGTAGTGTGAGACAGGATATGAGTACTACTTCCCCCGTGGTCGGCCCTGTTCTTGACCTGTTTTATCTTGATTTGTCTCAATATTTAATTATGTTCCTTCTACTTTTTACTCATCCTAAATCATATTTTCACCCAGTGATACTTTAGATAAGTGCAAGACTTCATCTAATTTCACTCAATTAGTCTTCATATGATTTCTATTTTCTATTTATGAACTATTTTTCATTCATTTTATCCTTAAAAATAAAAAAAAATTCTTCAAATTATATAGTAATGGGTTGACTTACCCCGCCCCGTACCTGCACGGGTATTACTTGACCTGACCCGTGCTTGGTGCTGGATGACTATGCATATTGACTATTGAAATACCTGTCTTGTCCCATTGCCATCACTAAAAGTGTATAAATTGATATAGTCTTACGAATTTGTGTGGAACTTATTATAAATGTTAGTCAACTTTTTTAATGGTTATTTGGTGAATTATTTTTGCTTATCAACCTACAACTCAACTACAATCCATCTAATCCAACCTGAAGAAGAACATAAGTGAATAACGAATCTTAATAGGTAAATTGCAAGTTTGGTCACTTAGCTTACTAAAAAAATTTAATTAAATTCACCAGAAATATTTAGTCACTAGAAATATTTAATTCAACTCATGGTCACTGAAATTAGTTTAGTGGTTCAAGTTTGGTCACTCTCCGTCCAATTCCATTATCTTTATCCTACGTGACGATCAACTCTCATAATTGACCGTTAAATGAGTGACGTGTCAATTAAAAAAAATTAAATTTAACATTTTAAATTTCCATCTCATTATTCCAACTATTAAACAATAATAAAATAATAATTTTTTTAATCCCCGCCAATGTTGCAACCACCAAGGCCCCGCCGCTGCGTCTCATAGCCAGGGAGAAAATTGGTCATCGTGGTGTTCCTAAGCTAAATCATCCACAGATACCAATATCTAGTCGTCGTCGTCATCCTGCCTCTTCTATGCCTCTCCTTTTCAACTAACGGCCGTCGTTGGTAAACGTGAACCTGAGGATAAGATTTCTCCGAGTGGGTTTTCGTTCTATAGTAAGATCGAGGCCTGATCTGAGGGCTTGAGGCTGCTGGAATTTGGGGATGTGGAAAGACGATTGGGAAAGTTGTGATTTGTTTGGGAGAGGGTTTTCTAGATCTACGTCAAGAACAACATAAAGGAGAAGATTAAGGCGGCGTGTAAGGGAAACGAAAAATTGCTTCTTGCAGATGATGATGTCGACGGCGGCGGTGGCATCCAGGGATTGAATATACTATTGGCGGTGGGAAGCAGGGCATGGCCGACTTAATCGAGGCTTCCGTCTGCCCAGTTTCTAGATACTGCGGGAACGACTCTATGAAACTCACGATTGATCCATGGAAGGCAAGGAGTTGTGAGGGGATAGGGAAAGAAGAAGGAAGTAGAGGAGCAGATGGTGAACTGGTGGCGGAGTTGTGAGATTGGAGGGAAGGTATCAATTTGAGGGGCAGAAAGGAAGTTAACACATAATAAGTAGGGCTTTTTTTATTATCAATAGATAGATTATATTATCAATCACCAAAAGATAGCACTATTCATACACCAAAAGAACGCAACCAACACTCAAAATCAAAACTCTCTACATCTGCAGGCAACAAAGAAAGGGTCTTCCTGGCCACCTCATGAGCCACCCGGTTGTCACTCCTGCCAACAAAAGAAATATCAAAGCGGTGGAATTGTCGTTGCAGACTCGCAATCTCCACCAAAATCCTGCCACCCTTCCTGTCATGATGATCCCTCCTCTGAATCTTCTCTATGACGACCTTGGCATCCCCGCAAAACTTGACATCAGTGAGTCCCTTCAAAGAGCACCACTGAATCACATCCAGCAAAGCCACCAATTCCACAAGGAATGGATCCACAAGACCTGCATACAAGAATCCCTTGACAAAGCAAACCCGAACCAGCATATCCTGAACCACCAAACCACCCGCGCCATGAGACCCTACCGCCACAGCCCCATCAACCTTACACGTATACCGAAAAGACTATCGATCCTGAATCAAAGGGTCCACTCTCCCCTCCCCCAGGTTCCGCTGCCCCAGCACCGGACCCGGCTGCACATAATTCAGCCACTCCCTAACCTGTCCCTCATACTGCCGAAGCAACTCTCCAACACTATACTGAATTCCCTCAAAAACCACCCAATTGCGACTTTTCCAAATCCTCCATAGCAGTGCCACCACCCTCACTATTCGTTCCGTACCTGCATCCTGTTCTACTACTC